AAAACAATCATCGTAAATAATAATTGTCTTGTCCGATCTATTGATTCTTTGTTCTGCTACTCATCAGAACATACCAAATATTTTTATTGAATTAAAGACTTTAAACACACAGTTTGAATGCTGTTATGTCTTTATTGTTTAAATTTAACCGAAAAGAATCTTATTGGAATATCCTCATTTGATAATGTATATACAATACGCAACTCGCGTACAATTAATTAATTATGTTACTAACTGTCGTCCGCGACTTCGTCCGTGCGGAATTAAAAGAACTTAATTAGCCTACGTGTTCTTCCATGCCATAATACAGTGAGATTCCTGCAACCATTCTTGAGATATGTTCTAACAAACGTCAATTAGTAAGGTTAAAATTACATTATGTTCCATAGACATCGCGCATAAACAGAGCAGCAAATAAAAGTAGATCACATTATATTTATAGACTAGTTCAATGCAAATATAATACGGCTTCAAGGTAACTCGGACACGGGGGTGCGGAGGGGAGGACGGGGGAAGCTCACGACATGTCATTGGGCATTGTCTCCTCTGATGTAACGAGAATAGGTGTCTGAATAGCGCATTGCACCTTAGTATGCAAATGCTGAAATCATTATGAGTCTTCAATGTAACAGTTGTATAATCGTTCTCTTACTAATAATACACATGAGAATGTTTTGTTGGATGTTTGTTAGAAGGTATCTCCAGAACGGCTGCATTAATCTCCTTGAAATCTGACATATTGGTAGAACATACTCTAAAAGACTAGATAGGCTAGTTACTGTGATTTTTTTTTTTATATTGGGCGGATGAAGTCGCGGACTACAGCTAGTATTGCTATATTTGTTATTCTCTTTGATAAAAAACAATAAAGAAAGTGTAAGACAACGAGATTCATTTGTTTTAGAAGAGCGTTTTTCTCTTCTAGTATCCTGACGTAAACGACGTGACGTTTCGTTTTAAAATAGACAGACAAAATATTTTAATATTTATTTCGGATTCAGTACCATTTTTTTCTCCTTTTAATACAGTATTAATATTTATTTTTGAAAAATAAAATGATCTAAATTTAGCGTAACAATGAACTTTAAATTGTGGCATACAATTAAAACTTGGCATTACGCTCGCTCTACTTTTGCTGCGACGAAAATTAAAAATAAATACAAAGTCCCACAACAATGCATGTGGCGTAGAGTAAATAATGCGAGAGAGCCATTTAAGATCCAATGCCGAATTAATTTGAACAATGTACGGACTGTGGACCACAAATAGATATTTGCATATTCATTCTGCAACCAACTAGATAGCTTACATCCTAGTAGTATACGGTTAACGTCTCTATTTTACTAAATACGTCTCCAGTTCAATTCTAAGTCATTCAAAAGCAAGGGAACCCCTAGTCCAGTGGTTTCCATACTTATTTTGTCTACTGCCCACTTTGAAAATAAATATTTTTAGCGCCCCTATATTTTCACATATTTAAAAACCACTATAACTTCAAATTAACTTAATTAATTATTGTGTCCTATATATGTATATTAACGGAGATATCTAAACGAAACTTTTACTATAACCCGCAACTTGAGACCTGCAGCGTCCACAAGGGGGCGTTATCGCCCACTTTGGGGAAAACTGCCCTAGTCTTATTGAAATGTACTAGAATCTTCTGCAATACTCAGAAACCCCTACCCTGAAAGAACCATTTTACCAAGGTTTAACCATTAAATGTCTATGTGACAATTAATGCTGCAATGTTTTGTGTGAAGAGCTGCGCTGCGTTAGAGCGAGATATGCGGCGTTTCACGTTCCGACATGTTTGACGTGACTGGACAACGTGTTTGTCTATAATAGGATTATTTTAATCCCTTTTGTTGTGGCGGCCTTGCGCTGCCAATGCGCTATGTGTGTCGTGCCATTGCCAATAGCGCTTCTCTACACAAAACTCATATAAAATATATCGCTATATGTTACTACGCCATATCGCATTTTTTATCTTTATGTTGGTATTCTTTTTTTGATTTTAAATATTTGTTGGCTGCACAAAACGTTATATTTTGGTAAAGCTTTGATCCAATAATTTCGTGTTACAAATGTTGGTGCAAATGTTTGAATCAGTCGCGAACTTTTTGCCAACATGTAACTAGATATAGTTTTTGGCCTACTGCTCTTAATTACCGTTGCATTGGCCGCTCACCAAATGTTAATGACCTACAAGCGAAAATGATCTTAATAATGATGGATGTAGTTTATAAATTCGTATCTAGCTTGTTATACTCAAGGTTGTTCAGTCATATGACCGGTCGTATGCAGCGGTGTTGCATAATTTGTGGCTTAGTCCTTTTGTACTGGAGATGGTTTTGTATGCGGATTTTATTAAGCTTATTATATTTTCAAGGGTAGACTCATTTTAGGTCATTTATAGAGCTATGTAACTAATGAAGATAAGATATGTTTAGAATAATCTAGAATATATCTTCGTTTTTGTATACTAGCTGTCGCCTGCAAGTGCGTCCGCGCGGAGTTAAAAAAGAATGTAATTAGTGGCCTATGTGTTTTTCCAGACTATGTTCTATTCCGTGTTATAGATCCGTTCAGCCGTTCTTGAGATACATTCGAACAAACATACATCCATCCGTCTATCTATCTAAATATTCGCATTTATGTTATTGCATAAAAGTAAGAAGTAATATTATAAACAAACTTACGTACAGTCGAATATTTCTTACCGCAAACCATTTAACATAGCTAATTATAAATAGCTATTAACATTATTCTAACAAAGCAATTATGAAACAATGTGGTACCGCAGTGTTGCTTGCATTGCGGTAAATTAATGAGCATTTTCTTTAGAAAAGTTCATTTTCGAATACTTTAAATGTTCACAAAAATTCCTTATTGTAATTCCTCTTACGAGATTACCTCTCATCAGAGAATTACAGCTTTACTAATATTATAAAGAGGAAAGTTTGCAAGGAATAGTCTCGGAAACTACTGAACCGATTTATAAAATACTTTCACTGTTGGAAGTTTGCAGTTGGAAATCCTTAGGTGAAGTCAAATTTTCTATAACTATTTAAATTACACGTATCTACCTTTATCGAGCAAATGCGATGCTATTAACTATTAACGATTAAAAAACTATCGCAATTCATTTGTAATTGCCCTTAGCTCTTAATGTATTTTTAATATCAAAGCGTGATTGTAGTTGCTACACAAATTAGTTATCTTAATAACATGTCTCGATGTATGTCAGTATGAACTTTATACATTTTGACATCGCTTATTTAAATGTGTGATTCCCTTCCTTTATATTTTGGAAGCATTATACGGTAAATAGAAATATTCAATAATCTATAAATTAACTGATATCTGATCGTCATCAGCTCACTATACGTCCCGACTGAGGGGCTCGGAGCCTACCATAACTTAGGGGTGATTAGGTCATAGTAGACCACACTGACCCAGTTCGGGTTGACTTCAAACATCTTTGAATGTCTCCTCAATCTGATGTTTGAACAAATATATTTAAAAACTTTTTAAAACTAGAAAAACAGTGGAAACATTAATCACAGTTTATTCTCTTTTTAGCATAAAAGTAAATGTTTTCTCATATTATTATATTTTAATATAATTCTGAAGCAGAATTATAAGACATGTGGCTTGCAGCTATGGATCAATAACAATAAGCGATGCGTCGCCTCAAATCTCCTCGAGAACGTTTATCCTATTACAGTGGGAGGGCAAGAATCAGAGCGAATTCTGTCCACCACCCACGAGACATCCATGTCTACAATTTATATGTATATGACCATTTAAAGTTGCTATGTGGACACGTGCGCTATATTTTATTCTGGTCTTCCAAAGACTTGTAGGTACATTATGAGAGCGATGGTCTGGCAACATATGGTTGTTTGAATTTAAACTATCAGACTGTATGTACCTATGTTTTTTGGAATGAAATAAAGTTCTTTATATAATTCGTACAAATTTTTAATGCGGTATTCAAAAGGTGAACCCACGAAGTGGCAACCCTTAACCCACAATTTTACGTTGTAAGTTAGTGACGTCATCAAGCGCCAAAGGTCCATTACACAGACGCTTGCCGTATTCACAGCTCTCTCACCACTCGGCACGCTCCGGTAACCATGTTAAAACCCTGTTCCACTAGTTACACTATACGCACAAGTTCTATTCGTATAAGTCACTGCCGATGCAGTGTATGTAGTACATACATTGCTCATACAAATAGCAGTAGTAGATAGAGTCGCACGGCAACTCTCACTAGTGGAATGAGGGTCTAACTCAACTAGTTAACGCACACTTAACTCCACGTTCATTAACAACCGTTGCAGGTTATATTGAAATGGCTTTGAAACGACGTATACTTGGTTGGAGTTAGCGTTTTGAATTTTTTAGAAATACGTACATGTTTAAATAATTTAATTTGCGTCACGGTCACGTTTAAATGAATTTAAATGTAGTTAAGTATGTTTTCCTAGTAAAAATAATTAGAAAAGCGACTGAGTTCAAGAAAAAAAAAATATTCAAATATTAAAATTATGTACAGTTTAATTAAGTCGTGTGAGTTTATTCTCGAAAGATTACGTTCTAGCAAATTCGTATGTTATTCGTATAAAAATAAGGTCAGATAATATGTGAACGAACATTTTAACCCGAGAGATAAAATATGTTTAAAGTCATCAAACTAGTTTCATTATGTTTTTAATAAATAATCAAGTATTTTCATATTCTTATAAACTCTTTGACCTACAGCTAGAAACATAACATATAAAATTCTGACAAATTTTTGAGACAAGAACACCATCTTGTTTCCTAAGTCAACGTTATCAAAACATCAATAGTTTTAGATTAAAAAGTTGAACAAAAATTCTACTACCGAAACACTATAAAATACACAGAGATAAATAAGATTTTTTGTAAGTGGAAACAAGACCTTTTAACCCATGTAAAATGATTCCTCATAATATTTTTCTTTGTCTCAGGTACAACGGAGCGCGCTTGCCTGATTACTGGCTCCGTGGATGGCATCATGATGGTGTTGGACTTCATCATGGAGAAGATCAAGGAAAAGCCGGAACTGGTGAAGCCATTCCCAGAAGGTGTAGACACCAAGATGCCTCAGGATAGAGATAAACAGGTTAGTAATGAATAAACTGCTAGAGTTGATGGTTGCAACTGAAAGAGGGAACTCAAGGTCTTACTTGAGATGACTCTTTAGTAAACACTGCATTCAGCCATTGCTACAATATTCATCCATCAGATAACAGTGTGAAGTCTATAATAACAACTGGGAAGGGCTGGCTGGACAACTGGCTTCACTGGCTCCAAACAATTTTAAGATCTACTTACGCTATTTTGTCTAGGGTACTTTATTGCCTTTCTCAAGAGCACATTATTTGAGTTTTTGTTGTGCTATAACCCAATTTTAACTTGTCCTAATTAATCATGTTTCAGTAAGTCACGTGGCTAAGTAAACAACGTGCTAAGTTTAATTTAGAAATGTGATTTCCTAGAGCTTCAATTAACTTGAAGGAACGTGTTGCAATCTCCAATGATTTCATTCCACTTTTGCGTTCCAATTAAATTAAAGTTTCTGATGATGTTTAAAACAACTTGAATCTCGGTACTTTACGTACATTGGTACACTATTGAGTGATGTTTGGTATATTGGTTTTTAATGCGTCAAATTATTTTAATTACATTGTAAAATTACCATAGTCCCTTTATGTTCTGTTATGCGCAGTTTAATTTTAGCGATAGAGCGTCATAACGTCCCAAATGGGGCGTCATCGACACGTGGCCACGTTTATCTAACGTATGGACGGACATGTTAGCCAATACAACATATGCCCCATTTTGTATTGTATTGCACTTGTATTGCGGAACTATTAATTCATTATTATAATAATTGTATTATACAATAAATAATAACCAAACAAATAACCAAAAAAATGGCGAATTCGTATCGTGTTTTTTGGCGCACAATGGCCTGAAACCTCTTTCTGTGCTCGTTTGTTATGATTTCTTTTAGTAAAATTTTCAACTCAACACTTATGATAATAAGAAATCAATTTGTTTAATCATTGATCAATTAAAGATTAAAAAACAATCCCCATATAAAAACGTAGCCGTTGTTATGTTTACACGATAGAAGATACATTGTGTTTATAGGTTTTAGTGCAAGCGACGCAAATTGCCAGTTAAAATGATCATTAAAATATTTTAACGATACGATTTCTACGACCATTTTGGACTGCTTTACGCAACGGAAAAAGGTAATGACGTGCACAAAAGTGGAAATTTCAATTTTGATGGGTTTAATTTATCTGTAAGACGCTACTTTACGTCTTAACGGTCGGATTAAATGTCCTTTTTTACAGAAGATAGCTTTATTAAAGAGGGTAAAGATTCAAATTTTATTAAAGAGAACCTTTCATAAAAATGGTAAGCAAATGTGGTTTTAGTAGATCAATTTAATGACTGATTTTTTTCATACATTTTTTGACTTCTCAGCACTTGGATGTATCGCCAATTGACTTGGCATAGCTGCAAAGATTCCAGAACAGACCAGATCTCGATGGAGTCAAAGGCTTTTTCATAGTCCACAAACGCTATGCACAGAGGCCGATTATACTCTTCGGTCTTCTGTATAATCTGCCGCACTGTATGGAGTCTAAGGTGCCGTATCCCGATCGAAACCCGGCCTGTTCGGGGGGCTGGAATTCGTCGAGCCTTCGCGCAAGACGGTTCGTGATGACTCTCGAAAACAGCTAATAGACGTGGCTTAAGAGTGAAATGGGTCGGTAGTTCTTTAAAATATTAGTGTAACTTTACGAATTACGGCCTAAACTCACCAACGATTAAAGTCTTCCGTTTAATCGACATCTCGGCAGACCTATTCAGAGATGGCGGAAAATCTAGTCGCTTTATTTTGTAATTGGTCCATCAACTCACTATTCGTCTCCAATCAGGGTCTCGGAGCCTATCGTAAGTTAGGAAGTGGAATCTATAGCTTTTGTTGATTACGGAGGAAAAATTACAGAAGCGTTTGTCTGTGAAATAATATGAGCTATTAATCTTTTTATAATTATAATTATGTCGTCACAAAAGAGTAGTTTGGTGTGTGATATAATTTAACTCGTGGCCTGTGGTCCGTATACCTACTGCATTGCGGTACTCGCCATGTTTCATACTGCACGGTCGCTCACTTCCATACGGAGAATTATTTAATTTATTTAAAAGATCGTCCGTTATTAAAATTGTATATTTTTTACCAGCTTGAGCAACGATACGTGAAAAAATTAACATATTAATATCATTTGATATTTCTTTTGTTATATTATAATATAATATACTAGCGGACCCGACAGACGTTGTCCTGTCTACACGTCTTTAATTTGAATAAATTAATATGAAGTTAATATTTGATGAAAATTGTGAATCTAAACCATTCCCAGATCCCCTTGAACACACACAAAAAATTTCATCAAATCGGTCCAGTCGTTTGAGAGGAGTTCAGTGACATACACACTCACAGAAGAATTATATATATAAAGATTATATGATGCTATACGATTTTACTTTTTAAGTTGTTTTTTTTTTTATATTGGACAGGATGAATTATTTTATTAAAAGGCTCTACAAAAAAATTACACAAATGCTGTTTTGTTCCAAACTTTTATTAAAATCCATAAAAATCGAGGAGTAAAATTTTTAAAAAAGCTAGCCAGAACTCTTAAGTAGAAAAGGATTTAATAAAGTCGATTCAGTTGAACCTTCCAGCCAACATTCTTATCTTAGTCTCTTTGTTAAACATTTACACAAAACGTTCCGTTGTCAGAGTTTAGCTTTCATAGCTTTCGGGGGACGCCCGCACCGTTTCTGTGCAAATTACGTCGTTCCGTTTTACGGCTGCAAGTTTGAGAATAATTAAATGTTGTGCTGAAAGTTGACTAGTATGAGAATCATTTATATTCAAATTAAGTTTTTAATTTTATTATCAACTTTTTTTTTAAATGCTAAGGTTGCTGTATTGACAAACATTTAAATAAAGTAAGCATACTTCATATCAATATTGTAAATCCGAATGTTTGGATGGATGTTTGTTTGAAGATATCTCCAGAATGGTAATCGTATCGATGAAATGGCATATGTTCTATATGAAAATAGTGTAAAAGGACACATAGGTTACTAATTTTTTTTTAAACCACGCGGACGGAGTCGCCGTCGACGGCTATGTATTATGATGTTACTAAAATAACATTTCAATCAATTCCGTGACCTCATCGCTGCGCAAACTGAGCCGGCTGAGGAGCACGTGTCATTTGTGCACGCCTATGCACGCTACGGACACCATATAATATACACGTGTTGCGACTGTCCGCTTAATAACTAAAATATTAACAACAACAGTGTTGTTTGATGCTTACTTAAACAGTCTCCTGATGTATATTTGTCTCAACAAATCTACTATCAGATCCTTTAGTAAACATTATGGTTAATTAACGCACGTTAGTCCTATACTGTTAATAAAAAACGCCCTTGGTTTCTGAAACCAGAATATCTGTCAAAACAGAGAGTACAACATATTTTAAACGGTTTTGGTCTCGGAAAGCCACAATAAATGCGGCAGTGAGTTTGAGTCAGTTCTTGAGTTCTTATCGATCAATAGATTCGTAAAGATTCTTTTATTAGAATTTTATGCCAGCTATCTACAATATTATGCCAGTTAAAAATGTTAATATTCCCAGCCGTTGTCCAGAGGGTTAAGTGAAGATAATGGATTTACCGTTTTGCATAATCCCGACACGCCCGTGACGCCTCTTGAACAAAGGGAAATTAAAAAAGGCTTATAAAACTTAAATATATGATATTTAATAACGTTACCGCTTGTGGTTAGAAGTTACCACTTTATTCAAAACTCGTTAGTATACTAACGCCAATGATAATGTACCATCAACGATTTGTTTAATTCCACCAATGCGCGAAATCCAAGAACTCTTGTCTGTAAAAACCTACCATTTCGTCTTTGACTAAAGAAATATTTAAATGAAAATAGTATTACATGAGAAGTTTGTATATATAAGAAGCTGTCTCCCGCGACTCCGTCCGAGTGGTTATATAAAAAAACTTACTTGTGTAGCCCGCGACTCCGTCCGCGTGGATATATAAAAAAACTTACTAGTGTAGCCCACTTATCCATCCATCCACATCACATCTATCTAAACATTCGCATTTATAATATTAGTAAGTTAAATAAAAAGCAGCTCTTCAAGGCATAAATTCGAAAAAAAATGAATAAATAGTATCCTATGTCGGTCTTCTGGGTCTAAGCTACCTCCTCCTCTAATTTTCAGCCATATCGGTAAAGCCGTTCTTGAGTTATAATCTAACAAGACTTTCTTTTATATATATATAGATATAGATTATAGCAAAATAAATTTTAATATAACATATATCATAGCAAAGCATATATGCGATTAGAATTGTATGTTAATATATCTGGTTATCGTCTTGGCCGTGACGATACGATGTCCTGACACCGATGCACCGAGCTTGGCAACAAGCCAAATAAAACTAACAGCAATGTATTAATATTTATGAGGTTTTTACTCTGTACTGTTTTTTTTTAATTAATGATATTTTTCTTGAGAATTTTGCGATTATGTATTAGCTGTCTTGTCATAATTTGTCTTATCTATGCCATTTTCTAAAAGTAGGTTTTACATATTTTCTATCAACTATAGAAGCGTATTTTAGGCCGGATAAGTTTGTCGTACTATAGTTGTTTACCTTACGCAATACTAGATGTGTCCTAGATTTTAGCGTTGGATGCGCATCCCAGTGCAGTTACGTAGCCTAGTGCCGGTGTCGGTGGGGCGAGGGCGCCAAGGTCGCGCGCCAATACCAGCTGCGATTGCAACGCCATCTAGTTACGTGAAACAATTATACTATGGAATTCATATTAAACAATGTATTTACAATTTAATTCCATACGATCTCATTGTTCATGTATTAAAGGATCAGAGAAAGCCGAGTACAATATCTGTTGGCTTAAATAAATAAAACGCTTATTTCGTCAACAATTAAATATATCGTAAAGATCCAGTCAGTCTTAGGTTTGGACTATTGTGTTTTTCATTCATGTTTAACGAACTCACGACTTACACTTTCTTTACAATTTTAAAGAATAGAATATCGAACACTGACAATGAAAAGTCATTATCCGGTCCCGAGGGACAACATAGAGTTAGAAAGAAACCTCTATAAGCAAGAAAAATATCGCCGTCCTATTCACTCTGGCTTATCCATGTTATATTGTATTTAATATCATCATTATCATCATCATCAGCTCACTAAACGTCCCCACCGAGGGGCTCGTAGTTACCCCAGTTAAGTACCCTAAGTTAAGGATGATATTAATATATCAAATGGAACTTGCGATAGAAAATTCCATCGCATACGCTTTGTTAGATGAAACTAGGTTACATTTTTTAAAGAGAATTCATGCATAATAAGCGAGATTCGTAAAGCTAAGAAATATTTCGGTGATTGTAGGTCAACTGTGAATTCAAATACTGACGCTTTCGCTGTAGTTCCCTAGAGGGCGGGCTCGGTGTTCACAAAAGGATTTCTTAACGAGTACACGACGCTCTTTACTTTTCGCCTTTGTGCTAACTACTTGAGATTACCTGAATAGGCCTTCCAGACTTGACCCAATATCGCTAAATTTAAATAACTTATATTTCGTGAATAGGTTTTACGGAATTTTGTATTTAACTATGTAGTAGACCCTGTATTTAGAAATGTATATCGCGTAAAATACGAATAGTAAAGCTGTTTCGTCGTCTGTGTTTATCCAAAGAGAGGTAGGGAAATAAAAGGGTTGACAATCTATACATGTTAATTAAAAAAATTGTTGTCTGTATGTAATATCGATAAAAAAATAAAAATATGCACATGATTTCTTTGTGTATTTAAAAATTTACTTGATCCGGACGGTGGTTGATTCTCGGAGATATTATCAGCTATTTGTTTAATTTCTCCGCTATTTGACTATTGGAAAATCACATTTATGATTGTGCTTTTCTTCCACAGGTTAAGATCTTAGTACCAAACTCGACAGCGGGCATGATAATAGGCAAGGGCGGCAACTACATAAAGCAGATTAAGGAGCAGAGTGGCAGCTACGTCCAGATATCGCAGAAGGCCAAAGAACTCTCTCTACAAGAGAGATGCATTACTGTTGTAGGTAAGAATAACTTGCGAAGTCCAAATATTTAAAGTAACCGTAAATTATCTTGAAGACACATTTTGATTCAACCAATGAAAGGAAATCTTACAAGATATGGACCTCTTTGTCATTTGTATGTCAAATTATTGTAACGGTCTGGCACATAGCTGGACTGGACTGGACTTTTAACCCTTAATTCGATGGTGTCAAGTGTGACGAACAACTAATTAAAAAAAATCTACTGAACTATTATAGTTTAGAGAAAATTACGTATGACTTTACTAAAAAAAAAAACAGTTTTTTTTGCTACAAAAAATTTCGTCAAATTAAAGGTTTTAAATTAATAATAATGTTGCTTAGAGAAAATGTAGCATATTTGATGGGTGAAAGAAATTTTGAAATCCGTTCAGTAATTGTTGATTTTTTTTTTAAATTTACTAATATTTATTTTACCATTCCAACTAAGCTCTATGCTTGTGCTAGGACATGGTTTACGACAATAGTCGAATGGCGGGATTCGAACCCCCGTCCTCGTGATCGGAAATCCGTACCCTTAACCATTAGGCTATTGACGCTTTAGCATTGTATTACTACATTGTATAAATTGACTGAAATAGCACAATTTATACGACTAGGAATATCATTTTACACAATACACTGGAAAGCATTGCAACATTATTGTTTTTTCCGTCCAGTGTAGTGTAATCGAATTCTTGGAATTAATGTGAGACGCTTAATTAATTTATTATTAATATCATAATAAACTTACTATTAGTGGAGTTTTAGAATGTGATATAAATACTAAGGGAACGGTTATGTATCAATTAACCAATTCTTATGTTACTAAAATTTTAATGTGAATGTTTGGATGGATGGATGGACTCCAGAAGGGCTTCATGGATCACGCTGAAATTTGGCATAGATTTAGAACATAGCGTGGAAGAATACATAGGGTATTAATTAAGTTCTTTTTTATTCCGCGCGGACAGAGTCGCGGAAGACAGCTAGTCGCATATAAAGTAACAAAGTGAGGTTAAGTATTTATATGTAACATCAATTGAACAAAATATTTATCAATTTCCAGGCGAAAAAGAGAACAACAAGAAGGCGTGTTTGATGATCCTGCAGAAGGTGGTCGACGACCCCCAATCTGGGTCCTGTCCCAACGTGTCGTACGCTGATGTGGCGGGCCCTGTCGCAAACTACAACCCGACGGGCTCGCCCTACGCCGTACCCACCTCTGAGGTGACCGAGGTGACAGCTTGAACACGCTCATAATACACTTGATAAGGACCCCCCAATCTGTTGTACCGATAACAACTTCAGTTGATTCTAACTCTGATGGTTAAGAGAGGGCAAAATAAGACCTTAATGTGTACAGTATAAAGCTGAAAATTGGTTGATCGAATTGTGGACAAAATTTAACTAAAGTTGGGTGCGATGTCTGTTTCTTAATCTCCATAGAATTGCGACCTCCAATGTATGGAATTTATTATATTACAATGATTGGTTGTAGGATGGATCAAAAGAATTGTCAATGTTTTATTGACGCAGTTTATATTTGACATGTTGGCTTACGTATGGTAATTTTTACTTTTTAGGCTGAATTTCTATGAAACTTATCTGAAAAATTTGTTTACTAAATGATGTTATTGTTTTTTATTCGACTTATTTAGTATAGTAAATTCTTTTTGCAAAGATCATAGCTTCGAGGGAATGTAGGAGATATTTGTGAGCGTGTTCAAGTATACCACTTGCCTCGTTCCGAACTCTCCATCTCTCATACATCATGAACCCCCCCACATCATTTTACATTGTTTTATGTGTCATAAGCGTAAAGCGTGATATCAACTTTGTAGATGACATCATAGATTTACATATTTTAAAAACAAAGGTCGAATTAATCGAATTTAAAAATTTCCATCATTGGCAATAACACTGAAATTAGTAAACATTAGAATTCAAATTTTTACAAAACTGTATTTTATACTGAAAAACAAAAATCTTTGAAAATATTAGGAATTAAGATCACGATATCATGTCCATGTATGGTGTAAAAAAAACAATTTATCGCTATCCATCCACGCCTCATACAACGCTAGCATACTTCTGAATAATTGACGTAGGATCACTGTGTGCAGAACCACGCGCTGGGCGGGTCAGTGGGCGGAGTCGGGGGCGTAGGCTCCGTGGGCTCGGTGCTGGTGAACGGCGCGGCGGGGCTGGGCGCGCTATCGCTGTCCCTCTCGCTCGCACCGCCCGGCACGCCGCCCCCCTCGCCCCTTACTCAGCACACGCTCGATCATATTAAGGTACGATACAACTACAATTTTTCATAAGTTTTTCTTGAAGACATATTTTCTTGCTGTCATCCGGGGATGTGTGATCGGCTCCTAAGAAGACCATTAATGTGTTCAAAAGACTATATAAGTGCAAATTAGATATTTTATATATATCATAAGATGACAAATAAGCAAGCGGCCACCTATAAATCCCCTCCTCCATCAAATTCACTTCCCCTTCACCTCCTTTCCTGCATCTAAAAGTATGGAAAGGGAAAGAGGACTTAGTAACGGGGCGGGCATAATCCATTGCAGGCGGCACTCCGTCAGGCGGGGTACTCTGAGGGCGGTATATCAGAGATAGGCGCAGCACTGTCGCTGCTGGTGAAGCACGGTGTGCTGGGACTGGCGCTGCCGGCCGCGCTGCCGCCCGCGCCGCTCTCCGCCGCGTACTTCCCGCTGCCCGCGCAGGACTCGCCCGCGGTCTTCGGACCTCTCGGACAAGTCGGACTCGGTGAGTTGTACTACGAAGCTTACACCAACTCTATCAACAAATTACGTGCCAATGATGTATGGGCGTTAGGATATCAATATTAAATTGTGATTATTGTATTTTCGATGAGATAAAGTGATATAGTTATATAATAGTTATGTACTTTTAAATTTATTGAAAGTATTATTTATGTATCTTTTGATCGTAAAATGGGGATTTAGTGGATAAGCGATTTTTCGTAAGTAATCAGGGTTCGAAACGATACGGTTAATTAAATCAAAGATTAGAAAAAAATTTATAGCGGAATTTAGGAAATTTAGCGGTAAATCGTTTAGTGTGCTAATCGAGTTAAAATTATTTAAAAGACTAAATGAATGTTTACCAACGTATTCGTAAATGATAAGAATGGACGTTATCTTTATTATTTAGAATAAAAATGTTTATTTCGTAATTTAATATTACGTTTTTATCGACTTTGACAAATTTAGAAAGACATACAAGTGAAATTAGACTAATTCAAAATATATTGAAAAAAGGTATGTAAATTGATTTAATGGTGGTTAATAAGTTTAATGTTTATGAAATTATATCGAAAGTGGTTTTTGATTGTTGTTGTTATAAAAGTCTTCTTCTCGTATCCGGCTCGAAAGACCATTTTCATAAAGTACCAACATTTAACAAAAACTATGACTTTTCATCGAATTCATTACCAATTATTACGAATCACATTGTCCAGGTCTTATAGAACTTATGTTAGAACTATAAAAGACATTCACATATAAATCAGCTATGATCCGGCTCAAAGGTTCAGCTCATAGACTTGAACCGTTGAGCTACCGTTCAAAAACTAAATTGGCAGCTTGATGTGAACGACCAATCATGCGTTCCCGTTTCGCGGCTTGCGAATTGAAATAAAAATATCTTATACTACCCGGTGACTTGCAGCTCTTATCTCGAAACGTAAATCATAACTCTATGCTATAAATTGAACTAAGTTGCGAACCGATTCGCTGATAAACATGAATCGTGGAGTGATTTACAGGTCATCAATATTTTAATTACCCATACTTACGTGTGTGTAAAAATCCAAGAGGTTAATCCAATTATTAGTAATAAAGTAGAATATCCAGCTTTAAAGTAATCCCGAGAACAAAGTAAATCATGGTCACTGTAAACAAATTAACAATAGACACATCCATCATAGACTTGACCTTGTGACCGACTAACACTACGTCAAGGCTTCATATATATCGCGATCTAAAATCAACTTTATTGCATTGTGATATATATCTTTTTCTATATAAACATATAACCTTGTCTGTTGTGAACTAAGCCCGGGCTCTAATTGTGTGCATTTATATAAAAGGTCGCACGTTTTGTTTTACTTGTCAAGGGAATTTGAACTTTATACTATGTAGGTTTGTTACTATAATAGCTCGTTTTGCAGTTGATTGGATATGCATATTTTATTACTAGAGAAATAATCGATTATCCTTGTATCTTGTAACACATGAAGTTTTTTTTTATTTATTTTATAATGTTCTGTAGGGATTTTATAAAAAAATTCTATGGTTTTTCGTCTCAAATTTATAAAATGCATATTTACGTTCAAAATACTTCTTTCATTAATTACATGATGAAAACGACATCTTAGTAATAATATCTTTTCTTTCCACTAGAACATTTTATAGGCAATTGCATAATTTTACAATAAACGTCTTATGTTATCTATAATCATAAATAAAAATGAACATTTCTTGCCATTTTAATTTAAGTAAATCGCCAAAAATGATTTTTTTTTTAAATCTGTAAATAAACAGATTTACAGCATATAGAATAATTTTAATTTTAATTTTAGGATATTAATAATATATTATTGTTATTTTTAGATGTTAATAATTATTTTATGTAATTTTAAATGTATGTTTTAAAATGAAAACGATGTGAAGTCACACCACGCTCTCAAAGTCGGTTTTACGCACAAAATTCAAAATTAGTTAGTCTTCTTAGTGCTTTTCACATCAAAACTCTTTTGGATCATTGGCTGACTATTAACACCATTCTTGACTCTAAAGTTTTTCTGCTTTACCTTTTTTTTGTATCTTTTTTAATACCTAATTGATATTTGATAGCGTTTCATTTCAAGAATTTAAAAAGGTCAATAAATTATTTTATTTGATAAGTTATTTTGTGTGTAATGGAACGCTGTCATTTTTTTTTATAATTCAAATGTTTAAAAGCATAAAAACATATCGACGAAAAACAATTATTGTTCAATTTACTTATGATATATGAAATCATTAAAGATAAGAAAATTGTAAAATATTTTTAAGCGCATGCAAGTTCGTTGACCTTTAAGTTATATTTACTGTAAGAATTTTATAAAAAAAATCATTTAACAAAACAAATGTATAAACATTAAATGTCAAAGTTCATATTTTCCATGTGTCTGAATTAATTTAGAGGAAAATTTGATATGTATAATTTTATATTATAAGTTTTCATTGTTACATTTTAAACAAGTAATTGTTATTCGTCTCCACAGTTTCTATGGCATGCAATTGAATTGTGTATTGTATTGCTGATTTTATTTAACACAATTGGCTTTTTTGATTGGTTTATTTTGAATTTGAATGTAATAGTGGCGTATCTAAATTTCAAATCAGCTTTAACCATTTCATCCTATCGGCAATACACTTAACATTGTATTTAGGTTATGTGTCAGAATATATAAAGGTAATTTCTTTTTTTTTTTAATGCAAAAGCATTCAAACCATTCTGCCAAAGATTTTTTTTATAATAATTCTTACCGGCCAGTCACTTTTTTTCTTTTTAATCCATTCTAACTTATGATTATACTAGCTGTCATCCGCGACTCCGTCCGCGTGAATGAAATAAATATTAGTGTTCCTCCAGACTATGTTTCTATGCCAAATTTCATCGAGATCCGTTCAGCCGTTCTGAAGATGCCTTTAAACAAACATCCATCCATCTATCCATCCATCCAAACATCCGACTTTATAATATTAGTAGGATTATTAAGATTTGTTGTAAAAAAAGAAAATGTATTTATTCTTATCTTTAAAAAATGTTCTCGTAATTTACATTTTGACCTCAAATGTATTCTGACACATCTACCTATAATGCAAATTAATATAGAAAGAGCAATTTCACAGAAATATGAAGAAAATGTTGATATAACTTATTTATTTGAAATTTCTTATTGGATATTCTTAAAGTATTATATACTAGTGTTCATCCAATAGATAAAAAAAAAACTAGGACAAAAGGATAATTCTATACATATAGATCGTAATACTTTACGTGTTTCCGATAATTCGATTTTCAAACTAAGTGACTATAACTTTTAACTTTTTATTTTTCTTTAATTGTTTTTCATAAAATATTTAAGTTACTTCAACATTCAAGTTACTGTTTCTTTTTTTTTGGAATATTATTTAAGTTGAATACAAGTTGCTCTTTCGTTGTTCCGTCTCTTTGGTCCGCAAGTCCGCTACACAGCGCCGCCGCGACAACCTCTGCATCTCATTGGGCTATGTTTCTATCAAAATTTCATCATCTCCAGTGCACACGTCACTTACAAAGCCGCGACCTGGGTCATGCTCTTGGACGATTCTATTGGTATCTCTTTTCGAATATATGATTCGGTCTTAGAAAAAGAGAATCAATTGTTCTTAGAAGCACTTATTTTAACAGTCGAGAAAAATGAAAAATATTTTTTTAAATATTAATATGTTTATTGATTCTTTGTCTCGTATTTGATCAGGTCTGGTCTAAAAGATAATAAATTCGTTGAAACACTTCGTAAAGTTACTTTGTAAGTAACGATTATGAATTTTATATTTTTTAAAAGTAGTCGAGAAAGGTAAGGTTTCGTCCGGGCACGTGCAAAAGCATAACCCTTTATAAAGTCGGGCAGGCAGACGGGCAGTCAGTCGTGCAGTCGGGCAGCCGGCGCGCTGTGCGGTTGCGGGCAGCGCGCTAACTCGTCTCACTCTGTCCGCAACAGCGCGAAACGTTCTAATGTAAGTGTCAGCACCTCGCGCCGCACCACTAAACCCCCGGCCGTGACGAGCGTGTCGTGACGCGACGTGACGTGACGCGGCGTGACGTGACGCAGCGTGACGCGACGTGACGTGACGCGGCGTGACTAGCGTGACGTCCGCAGGCGGCGCGCGCGGCGGCTCGTTAGAGCGTTTCGCGGAGGTTGCATTCGAGGCGCTTCGCCCCCCAGCGGTGGCGCCGATCTCGCTGTCGGCCGGCGTGAGCGGGGTGGGCGGGGTGGGGGGCTTCCCCTCGGCCTCGCTGCTGCCGCTCTCCAAGAGCCCCACGCCGGCCGACGCGGGCGCCAAGGACTCCAAGAATGTCGAGATCGCCGAGGTTATCGTCGGCGCCATACTTGGTGAGTTGACAACACACAAACTCAGTGATTTTTATAGCTGTGAATTATTTTTGATAAAAGCAATTAATAAAATTAATAAACATTTCAAGAACATTCTTCTCTTTCGCAATAAAAGAGTGTAGAAAACAATTAATTTAGGTTTTGTTTGGTTGTTACTGAACGTAATATAAATAATAAATGTTTTTGTATAAAGATTGTTTTTTGTCGATTTCAGGGCCCGGTGGGAGAAGCCTCGTCGAGATCCAACAGATGTCGGGTGCGAACATCCAGATCTCCAAGAAGGGTACGTTCGCGCCCGGCACTCGCAACCGCATCGTGACCATCACCGGCACGCAGACCGCCATCAGCAACGCGCAGTACCTCATCGAGCAGAAGATCCAGGAGGAGGAGTTGAAGCGGACACGTCACAACGCCATCTCCGGACTCATGCAGTAGACCCGACAAGACATACCTGCGCGCGGCAACCATGTATGCGTATTTAAATTAAGGACACGAGTTCGCACTCTCGAGTCGATGTATTACTTTTTGTTAATGGTCAAAATCAGGACAGGGGTTCTTTTGGTTAATATTTTAAAGGCGCACGTATACTTTGTTGCCGCGAGCCGGGTCAATCGGAACACTGCCTACTCGTCACATCGACGACAGTTCGTTACAAAATTCGTTGTTGCATCGTAGATTCTAGTTGTTTCTAGTCATACGCCGGTGGTGTTACGCCGTCGCGACGGCTAGGGAGTTATCCAGCATAGAGGAGTGGCGCGAGTTACCTGAGCGTAGTTGTAATTTTACCTTGTTTTTTTTTCGTTTCGTATTCGTTTCGGAGGGTAGTCGCAGTAGTCGATGCGGCGCGCGTGGCGCACGTCTGTCGCGTCTCGCAGCTGGTGCAATAATGAGCCGGGGTCGTGCAATGTCCAGCGCCGCGCTCTCGCCCCGCGCCCCTCGCCCCGCATCGGCCCATAGTCATATTTACAATAAATAAATAAATAGATTTATCTATATTCATTTAACGCATATATAATATTCGTGTTGAACATTTTATTGCAGTATGTTTGTTTTTGTCGTGATGACAAGCGATGGTTTGAGAGCCGCTTAGCGACTCACGTTGTTAAGATGTTGTATAATTAATGTGTACGATTGTGATATCTCCTATCACGGAAAATTCCTATTCCATTAAATTTTTATTTTTGTATATTATTCACCAATTTTCGGTTGCGTTTGTTTGATTTCATTGTAAATGTTACCATTGTTAAGTTATTTAATTTTTTTTTATGTTCATGATATGTCGTTATATCGACGTATTGCAAAATTAAATTTATTAAATATATGAATTTGTTTAGAAATGCTCGTACGCCTTAGTTGAACGCAAGTTAATCAGTAAATGGGAATTTAGGAACCAAATAATTATCGTAACCAAAGCTGGTAATTTTAATTTTTTGACAAATGAATAATTTAAAAAAAAACAACAGATGACATATTTTATTTAATATAATATGGTTGGCATAATATTTTTATTTTTATTTTTGACATTATCTTTTGAATGTATTAAGAGAGTTTTTATTTCATTCCTAATTTCTCGCGATGATAGATCTTTATTTTTTTATACATTTATAATTTTTTTTCTTTCGTTAATTCTTTTAAGAAAGTTCATTTGTTGTCGGTCTAAATTTGTCTTTAACTCGTAAGTACAATTTAAATATAACAAGATATGCGTGTCCATATAGTAGAGAGGTATATTTTAAAAGTTTTAATGCAGATTTCTATATATTATTCAAGATGACAATATGATATATAACAAATATTCTTATTTACAGTTACTTACTAATTAAAACATATTTTATTGCGCCATTGTTGTAATGCAAGCCTTTTTTTTTCTTCACCGTAGAATGATAATAAATCTGTGATTGTTTTCGACATTGTCAAGGTACATCGTGTCAGTTGTTCCGAGGCCATTGTTCTGGTCAGTCCGCTGGGTAGTTTTAATTGTTTTACCTCTGAAGTGCCATCTAACTATTGCTGAGTTTAGTCTCGTATTTTTTGGTCCTTCGTTATCCGGTAACGCCATTTTGGCGCAGAAACTTTCAAATTAAACAGATTAAGTACATTTTGATATTCCTATGCGGTACATACTTATTTCATTAAACAATGAAGTACAAATTGAACACATAATAAATATTTGAACCGGCTTAAAATAGATGTTAGGTTATAAGATGAGGAATTGAGAGCTGTTTGTCAGTTTAGCGGTGAGATCCGGCCGCCATAACAAATGGTCAAGCCGACGCTAACTGGTCGTTACCTGCGTGTTATTTAGATAACGTCACGCAACGTAGATGCATTAACGTAGCTAGTATATAGTATATTCAATCTTTTTGGAATAAAAAAAAATGTGTAAAATAGGTTTAATGCTATTCCACCACTCTGGTGTTTTTTCGACTATTTCATCTATGTCTGTGTATTTTTTTGGGGGTAGTTACAGATATCGTATCGTGTCAATTAAAACGTGGTATGACATGCTCGCGACTGTGACGTCATACAAGATGGCGGAAATGGTGGCGCCACACTCGCGTAGATACCTATGCGGTCACAAAATTAATATGTTTGCTACGTTAGTGTGGCGACATCATTTAATTGGGTTATTAAGCGATAGATTTAAAATTGGGAAGATAAAAAGCGGTCGCAAGCGTGAAAGCAGTGCGTTTAGCGGAGGCTACCCGGCTGTCGGGGGCATGTCGATTATAAGCTCAATTTTATTGAAATAAAAAAATCTCGAGTAGTAATCGGTACGTGTAAGGTGAATACGTCAATTATTGGAAACTGTTTTTGTGTTTAGCTATCCGACTCCTTACCCTTGCCACTTCTATCTTCTATTATCTTCGTGTATCCGTTTTGTTTGGTTTTAATAATTCTATTTGCTATCTTTAAAAAAAAGACAAATTTTATCAATACTAATTACATTTTCCTTTAAACGAATGAATTATTTTTAAGTAACATATTACCATACTAAAGTTACCGTTATATTTGACAGTTAATTGTTAGTCGTATACTCTGGTTAGTTGTAACTTCCGATCCTTTACTCTACTTTGTCCTCTTGCCTCGTTTTTGAACTGTTCTTTACAATGTTGCCGTCTTCGTCGAGACATTCCGAGCTAGTGGCGATGCCAACCACGTCGTGTCTTACCGCATACTCTTTGTCTAATAGATGTAAGCCATAGACAAGAGTTTGAGATATTTTTAATTTATCGTTGTTCATCATAGATTATATTTTAAACCACAGATAACTTTTAGCGTCTCGCTAGCGTTTGTTAGAAAAAAAACACTGTAAAGAACATTTCCATTACGTAATAGTTATTCGATGAAATTCTAGTTAGTTGTTTTTAATTGTTATAAAGATACATTGGGTATATATAGACAATTAAAACTGAAGAAAATAAAATGTTAAAAAGTTGTTATACCGAAGTTGTTACAATATTTGAGAGTATATAATTATCGTCGATACAAATTAATGAATTTTCTTAGTAAATTAACATTATCTGAGTAATAGTTATGGTTTAATGACGTGTGGAATGATAATAAATAGATGATTTGTCGTCCCGGACGTTACGCGACTATACTGTTCTGTGATACTGACAAGTATGCTACGTAGCACGTCGGTCCGGCCTACTCTGTGTCCCGG